CCATCTCACAAAACACACGCAATGACGCCGACTGCAGGAGGAAAGCCAAATCAGTGAACGTGTAAGCATCTCAGTGCTGGCAGTGGTCTCCACACGGGTGCGCCAGCACCCAGGGCTCCATCGGGGCAGGTCCATGTGGCTTCTCCTTGGGGATGTCTTGCAGTTAGTAAACCTTGCCAGCTGACCAGGGAACTGGCTAAGGCAGCTGCACGTTGGACTGACCATCAGAGAGCAAAAGACTCGAGAACTAGAAAGGCGAGGCTCACTGAGCCATTATCTCTCTGCCCTTCAATTAACCCCACATGTGTTTATCAGCCAGGTTGGCACCATAAACTAACTACCTCACAGACTGTTAAGAGCAACAGTGGACAGAGACTCATGACGGGGCAGTGCCTAGGATAGTGGTGGTTTAAGAGTGTCGGTTCAGGTTCAGACTGGGATGGCAAGTGGGGAAACTGGAAGGTATTTATGTAAAGATCTTTTGCCCAAGACCCTTCACTTTTACAGAAAGAGAGGTAACAACCACAAAGATGAGGCAATTTTCCTAAATTCAACTTCTAGGCAGCCCTCACATCCTGACTCTGTAATCCAGAGTTACTCTGAGCACCTTGTTTATTGTCTTTCAAAGCAGAAAGAACCTACTTCTAGCACAGAAGTGGCATACACAAAACATTAGGAAAGCCGACTCTGGGGCAGCATGAAGCGCTGCTGAGGGCAGAGAGGAACAGCGAGGTGATGGCATTCTCACAAGCTTTCCTTACCTTTTTCTTTTAAATAAATCATTTCATTGGGGGCTCTTACAATAATCCACACATCAACTGTATCAAGCACATTAATACATATGCTGCCATCATTTTCAAAATATTTTCTTTCTACTTAAGCCCTTGGTATCAGCTCCTCTTTTACCCCACCCTCCCACCCTAGTGAACCCTTGATAAACTACAAATTATTATTATTATTTTCATATCTTACACTAACCGCTGTGTCCCTTCACCCACGTTTCTGTTGTTCATCACTCTGGGTGGGGTAGGGGGGTTATATGTTGATCAATGCGATCTTTTCTCACATTCTCTCCTTCTCCCCCACGCACCCCCACCCTCATGTAAAAGGAAATAGAGGAAAGATCTAGGAGGCAAAAGACACTTATAGAGGTATAAATATAGGCATGTATATATGTAACTATACTAATATATAACGATAGGGATACAGGTCTATGTACATATATTTGTATGTTAAGTACCAAGGTAGCAGATGGACATTGGGCCTCTACTCAAATCCTCCCTCAACACAAGACTAACCTGCATTCTGTGATGCTTTCTTTTCCTTACCTTGTGGAAGAAGGCAGCACCTGTCAGCACCATGGACAGCTCACAGGAGTAGTTGGAGTTGTAGAGCCAGGACTGGTGAGGAATGTCCCACGCATGATACCGGCCTGGGAAACCCACAATGCGGTCCCGTGCTTCTCTCCACACCCTCAAAAGACACAAATAAACACACATCTTAATACAACGTGCTAGGATTACCACAGGCTCTGACAACCACAAAATAAACAAATAGGTACACATTCCGCTTCCTTAGCAAAGGCCTGTTCTTTACTCCTCTACTTTTCAGCAAGCAACACCTCTCCAACCTTTACCGGAAAAACAGGCCAAGAAAACACAGGAAGGAGCTAGTAAGTCAGGGGTCTCAGGTCAAGTATGTACAATAATCTACTAACAGGGTAAAAAGATGGACATTTCTCTTGATTTTGTATTTTATTTAATCTCTTAAAAAAATTTTAAATGGTCATGCTATATCTTACAGTAGGGCATGCATGTATTTCATGTACGTTCAATGCTTAACACGATCTACACCACAAGAGACTGTTCATTACAGCAGTAAAATACCTCGAGCGCTACCCCAAATGTTGAGTAATGCTAAGGGAGGAACCTGTAAGAAGTGGGCTTTGGGACCTAACAATGGAATGATCTCGCTAAATGCAAGAAATAAATGTGAAAATTCAACAAATTTCCAGCAAAAATGTTTATACCATCCTCAAACTTACAGACAAAACTCACTTACCAGAGTCAATTCTGACTCACAGAGACCCACCACATACAACACAGTAGAACTTAGAACCGCCCCTGTGGGTTTCCAAGACGGTAACTCTTTATAGGAGTCCAAAGGCTCATACTTAGCAGCCAATGTGGAACCACTCCAGCAAACAAATAAAACTGCCTCACCCTCCCCTGTGCCCACTCCCAGGGAGACCTCCAGCCCTACAGACACGCAACAGAACCCCATACAAAACGAAAGATGGCGCCCACCCCATCCATACCCCGCCTTTCAAATGAAGGCTGAATCTGCCCGAGAAACACCTGCATCACTTACATGAAGCTGATTCCTAACACAGCTGCTGTCCTTTCACAAGATCCCTCTCCTAAGAAAACTAATTCAGATCAATAGCTGAAAACCCACATCTCCTATCATAATAACACAGCCTCTGGATAGGCTTTCTGCCACCTCCTAACCAACTCCCCCCTCTATCCTATTTCATCTCACCAGTCTCCAAATCCCTGATACAAAAATCTATCACATTTCTGGGGCACATTTTGGCATTTATGGAATGTGTCGAATAGAATTACAAGATAATGGAATTTTGCCATGAACATTTTGGAGTCCCTTCATAAGTAGCAATGCCCAAATGTTTAATCAGTCCTCCTATAGATGCTCATTTCCTCAAATACCTATTATCTAACTCGTCAAGAAATACCAACAAAAGAGTGGGAAATGTTTCAGTCGCCTGATTTGGTTACTTATAAGTCATTAGAACAAATTGTTGTGTACAGTCAAGCCAAATGTCAACTCAGAGTGACCCCGCCAGAGTGTCAGAGGAGACCTGCCGGAGGTTTACCTCCGCCCGCCCGCTCTCATCACTGCAACAGCACAGCAGCAGCACAGCACCAGCCAGGCCTTTCTCCCACGGAGCCTGAGGGGCCAGGGTAGTTCACACCTCCTGCCTCTCCATTAGCAGCTGAATGCTGAACCACTGACCATCAGGGGACAGTATAATTAGCTATATGATTTCAAAAATGAATATCTAATTTGTTAAAAGGCTGTCAAAAATGAGATGATCTAACAAATACTAGGGGGGAAGTCAAAGTGGAAGAATTGGTAAGTAATAAACTCAAATTATAGGTATAAACTCAAGGCATAAAGTCCATTCCTAAAGAGATGAATCAAGAGTTTAGATAGTATGTTCTCATGGAGATTTAAAAGTTAGGTATCTAAAAATATAAAATAAATAATAATCAATCCTATCAACTTCCACATAAAACTACTGTACATAATTTAGTCAAACTTATGTTACTTGTCACTCTGCACCTTTAATGAATTAAGTCATTAAATGTACTGATGTTCTTATTACATGGCAGAAAAGGTCTCAGTTAATTTTACAGCTCAAACTTGAAAACAAAGTCGTTTTTCTGCACAGTTACAACTCCGACAAATAACTAAAGAGAATTTTTTTAATCAAGACTAAAGAATCTGAATCTAAAATGGCTCATCTTTTGTTAACATTTCACATTTAATAACTGTCTCCTTGAAACCGGTTCATTGACTCCACTTTCTTTGGCACATCACTTACCTCCTCATTTCCACATTAGCAAAGTCGGCTAAGTAAGAAATAGTAACTAGTGACAGCCCTTAAAGTCTGTCACTCAACCCAAGAGGCAAGCGAATTTTGGGAATGATGAGGGCAACAAATGTATAGATGTGCTTTACACAATTGATCTATGTATTGTGATGAATTTTATGAGCCCCCAATAAATTGATTTAAAAAATAAATAAAAAATAAAAGTACAAAAAAAAGTTACAAACGGTAAAAAAAAAAAAAGGCTGTCACTCAATCTTTTGTTTTAGTGTGTGAACCTGACGGAAGCCAAAGCCATTACTACTGCTTTATTTAAAACAAACGTTCTATTCTTTAAAATTTGGGTAATGGTTATAAATAATATCAGTCAATACATTAGGATATTATCAGATATCAAAGTAATATAGATCTTGGGGGGAAATGGGGAGTTGATAACAAAGAGTACAAAAAAGGAAATATTCTAAAACTGATTATGCAAATGATCAAACAACTCTTTTTAATATGACTGAACTAATGAATTGTATGATATGTGAATTACATCCCAATAAAACTGTTCAAAAAATACAAAAATAAATACGGACTCAACAACAAAATAAATACAAAGAAAAGTCTATTTTTTGACTGTTTAAAAATATATATATTGCAGCCAAGTCAATGCCAACTGGTGGCACTGAGAGCTGGGCCCCACAGAGCGCTTGCTGGTCCACCAGCAGGCTTTTCTTCTGAGCAACCTCTGAGAAGACGAACTCCAAACTGTCACTCACAAACAAGCCCGTTAACCATCTGTGCCACCCAGGGACTCCATGGTTGGTTTGGGGCTTTTTAGGATCTTTTTCAGTACCCTGTTTTTCCCTCTGCTTCATTAAGAATGAAGTCATGTGAAAATTCCATTTTAAAACATAAAATCAACTAATAATGGAAGAATGTACAGAAAGGTAGGTTAAGTTTTATCTTCTATCTAAAATACAATTTGCTTCATACATATTCTAACGTTTACAGTAACTTAAACAACTTCACTCATTGCTATAAAAAGCAATTTACAATTCACACCAAACTGTGTGCCTCTTACTGCATGCACTTACAAAAGGGAAGAGCAATGCACAAAACAAAATGTAACAATCAATTTTACCACACCTCAACCCCTTAACTATATACTATGCAAGACTTGGGCTTACTGGTAAACTAAGGGTATATCATCCCAGTCGTTTTCTAACAACCCATTCTGACATAGGCCAGTGTGTTCTATGAAAGAGATACAAGAAAACCTTATTTGTGTAAAAAGGGGGAGTACAGAACATCACATATGTATCTACATTTAGATACACACAGAATATTTCTAAAAAGATATTCAAGAAATATAAGGAGAAAAACTTTTCATTGAACTACTCATGTAACTATGCAGACTTAAATAAAATAGGACAGAGTTTTCACTTTTAAAAGTTTTCTCCATGACTTCTTGAGCAAATTCCCAGGTGAAGAAGAAAAGCCCACACACACATATCTGTGGGGGGGGGGGGGGGGGGGTTAGGGAGCACTGGTGGCACCTTGGAGAAAGCTGCTGGGGTCGCCAGCTGCTCTGCAGGAGAGATGAGGCCGTCTGCTCCCATCAGCTCTCCTCTGTGATGAGTTAGAACTGACCCCACGCAAGTGGGTGTGATTTAGGATTATGTGCTATTTTTCAAGTGTTTTTTTTTTTTAAGTTAACACAAAAAGATAGACCAACATGACTGCTGAATAAACAGCTCAGATTAATGTAGATAAATGACTGTTCCACTAAACACGTCACTTTAAATACAGCTTATAGTTGAAGTCATAGCTTTAAAATAATTTTATTAGTGACCTTTGGAAAAGAAAACTCATAGCAAAGCCATGAAAGTGCCTAAGAAAAGATGAGCAGATTCGGTTGTGGAACATGGATGTCTCAGATAACATGTACTTGGAACCAGCCAGAGAAACCTGTCATCCAGTACAATCTCAGATCTTCTGAGGATTACACTAGTTATCTAGGGATGCTACAAGGAGCCCTGGTTCTGTAGTGAGTGACATGTCAGTTGGGCTGGTAGCTGCAAGATCCAGTTTGAAACCACCAGCTGCTGCTCAGAAGATGAGACAACCCCCATAAAGATTTACAGCTTCTGCAATCCAAAGGAACAGCGCTATTCTATCCTTTAAGGTCACTATGAGTCTCTATGGCAGGAGGTTTGGGGTTCTCTTCTATATCTGTGCAGCTTCGTAAACACCATAGGCTCTGGTGGCATACTAGATTATGGATTGGGCTGCTAACTGCAAGGTCAGCAGCTTGAAACCACTAGCCACTCTGTGGGAGGGGTAAGCTACAAAGATTCTACTACTGTGGAGAATTATTTGGGGAAACCCACATGGGCAGTTTGACTCTGTCCTATAAAGTGGCTATGAGTTGGAATCAACTCAATGGTAGTGAGTTTTTGCTTATAACAAGTACTAAAAGTATGTGCCTTTAACAAAAAAAAATATTTTTACATTTTAAGAAGCTGGAGGTCCAAATTCAGGGCAGTTTCCAAAGAAAGGTTTTCTCTCTTTGTTGCCTCAAGGAAAAGGTCCTTGCCTCTTTTTACATTCTATTCTTGGACTCCTTGTTAAGCTTTGTGTGGCCTGGCATCTGTGTGTTTATAACACCCTTGCTTCCTTAATCTGCTCTTCTGTATCTAAAGGGATTTAAGACACACCCTCCACCATCAGTGCTTTATTCGAACCTTTAATGGAATTGTAAGGTGCTTTCAAGTCAGTTCCAACTCATAGAGACCCAATGTGCATGAGAACAAAATATCGCCTGGGCCTCTGCATCCTCACAATTAATTGTTCT